GTTTTGGTTATTGAAAGTGGTGAAAGTAAGAAAACTGAATCCGCAAGCAGCTGTGAATTGCGTGTTCTAATACCTAACGCTGCCGTCCAGCGCTGGTGCTGCACATCACAGAGCATGGTCTTGCTGCCCTTCACGATGGTTTTACTACTGAATGTGGAGAGAGGATGCAAGAGGAGAGGACGGAATTAGTGGGAATGATTATCCAGTTTTCAGTGTTTAGCCGGGAAAAGTTAGAATAGTGAAAAAAGAATCTGAAATAGTGGGATAAAGAATTTACAGTAATGAGTTGATAAGTTACATTGTTTTATAATGATGATCAGGGTTTTATTGTTTTAGAGATTCTCCACTGAGATCTTTTTTAAAAACCTGACCTCAGTTAGTGGGATTTACGGCTGTATCTTGGTGACCGCTGCCACCTACAGACCAGATGTGTAAACTGGTTTGGCTCTTTCATTGTGGAATCCCTTAGAGACTCTGCCTGCAAATGTTCCACAAAAGCAATTCTTCAAGAACAGTGAAAAAAATTTCTCATGAAATAGTGAACCTTCTAGAAGAATATAAAAAGGACTAATCACATTTTCTGCAGACATCATTCTTTGATAGGATATAGCATGTACATTTGCAGATTGCTAACTATTTACATTTTAAATCAGACACACACATCTGACCATCAAGACGTTTTAAATCAGACACAAACATCTGACCATCAAGACTGGCCCAGTTATCCTTTACTCACACGTCCACTGCCAACTCATTTCCTGCGTCCACAGTGGAGCTGTGGGGGAGNGACTCAACTTGGGTCTGGAGGGCCCGCCGACCCAGGGTAGATTCCAGGCCCTGGCCACCCAGGCACTCTGTGACCTGGGGAAGTCACTCTATCACATTGAGCTCCAGTGTCTGCCTATGTAAATGGAGCCCCACCTGGCACATTTGCTTAACGCAGTGGTTCTCAATGTGCAATCGGAATGAGGTCAAAACTATGTTCATAATAATACTAAGATGCTGTTTCCTTTTTCACTCTCCCTCTCTTCCAAGTGTTCAGTTGGGTTTTCCCGAGGCCGCATGGGACTGAATGCAGAAGCAGAACTGAGAGCCCAGCTGCCTCCTCTTAAGGCAGATATTAAAGAGATTTGCAAAACTGTGACACACACACACAAACTTGTGTCCGAGTGAAGTGGCGTTTATAAGTGATTTCACTACAACCAAAGAACAAAAAATAAAAATAAAACAGAATTATCTCCTTTTTATAGAAGAGGAAACAGAAGCTCAGAGACCGTGGGAGGCAGGCTGCAGGGCTGGCCAGTTAGCCCAGGTGGTTAGAGCACCAAGGTCACACATTCAGTTCCCTCTATCAGCTGCCAAAAGAACCACAGTAAGTTGCACTTACTGAGTGGTATGTTCTGGGCACTGTTCTAAGGCCTACATATATTAATTAACCAACTCATTGATGCTCACAGCTCTACAGGTATATATTACTATTATTACTAACAATATGCACGAGGTAACTGAGCAGACAGAGGGTGTATCAATCAGCCCAAGCTAGTAGGTGATTGAACCAGAGCTCAAACCCAGCTGGTCTACCTTCAGAGCACACTCACTCTTCTTTTTGTGGAATGTTAAAATGTAAAACCAGTAAAGAACATAGTAGTTGCTTGGAAAATAACAGTCATTGTGGTGGAGAAAATCAGTGCTGATTACAGGTGGGGTCATACGATCCATGTTCATCAATGGGAGGCGAGTGGACACTCGGTAGGTGTCACTTTCAGCACTTCCAGTCTGAGGCAACTAAGAGCACGTTTGTTGTCTCCCTCTATTATTCTCAGCAGAACTTCTAGAAGCAAAAACTCTGAGGTAACAGAATTACAAGTCTGAAGCCACCTCTGTCCCTGAATTTCTTCTGCAGTACAGCCAAACAGGAGAGCCACTGAACATGCATTAACTGTGACGTGGGTGAGAATAAAGCTTTTTTATGTTTAACTGTTATACTTGGGCGTGTATTTCTTACTGCAGCATAACCTATTCCATCCTAACTAACTGAATCGTTAAATGGTAATAATTATCATTTTCTCAAATAAAATACAGATAAGCATGAAAGGAAAAGTTCATGTGTTGGTATAAAAATATAGACTTCTTTCTTCTTGAGCAACAGAAAAGACATTGTGAGAGTCCCTGCACCTGGAGCACCTGAGAGGAGCCAGGTCTGCACCTGCACCTGGAGCACCTGAGAGGACCCAGCTCTGCACCTGGAGCACCTGAGAGGACCCGGCTCTGCACCTGCACCTGGAGCACCTGAGAGGACCCAGCTCTGCACCTGGAGCACCTGAGAGGACCCGGCTCTGCACCTGC